TAATTCAGGGATAAAAATTTGTCTCTTTATTCTTTTATAATGGAGTATTTACAAGTATGTATACACATATACAGCACAAATGCAAGAAATAGAAAATTCCAAGAAGACTAGGAGAAGAGGTTCATCCCCACTCCCGGGGTCAAAGGCAAGGAACCGCTGGCAACAGTCAGCTGAAAAGTCGAGCAATCACCTCCCTCATCGGTCCTCCCACCTAGAGCCTTAAGAGCTTCATCATCCAACTCCCCCTCATCCTCGCCAAGATCGAGTCCTCTACCTCCACCAACTCGTCCAAACACTTGGTCACAATGGGTGATAGTGGAAGCGACTGGGTGGGTTCCTCATCTCGGTTGAAAGCTGCACCGCGATGTAGTTGTACCCAGCCTTACAAGCTATCGCCACCTCCATTTTTCCAGTGAGGCCCTGGCGGTACTCCTCTATGATTTCCTCACGGTAAGGCTTGGACTCGAGGTAGACGCGGGGTTTAGGCCATTGCCAAAGATTCCTGTAGGCGAGCGACCTCCTCTTGAAGCTTGACGAGCGTTGTATGCTCCTCCTCCAGCTGACCCTTTGCATGCAACACCGCTTGCTTCTTGGCTTCGACCTGTACCATAGAGCAATCTCTTTCCTGGAGAGCCTCATCCAGCCTCCTAGCATTCATGTTACTCTCGTCAAACTCTCGCCTGAGCCTTTTGATCTTGGAAGCTCTTGGGGCTGACGGCTACATAGCTCATTCGGAGTCGTCCCCTCTGTCAGCCCTCTGCAAAGTTACCCCCCAAGAGCTTGAGATAAGAAGTCCGGATCTGCTCCATCCGGTCGAATATCTCTTGCTCCACCAATGCCCCTCGAACTAAGTAGCTTTGGAGGCTTTAGTGAAGATCGGCGTTGGGAACCCCTCTCAAAAACTCCTTGTCCCAGGAAAGACAAAACAGCTCCACTGCTCTCGCCTGAGTCAGACAAGAGCCAAGGACTGACCCTCTGACGTTAAGATGGTTGGCAGGCTGGTAACGGTGCTCTGGGTTAAACTCCTGACCAAATCGAGGGTCAATCCCCGAGGACCCAATGAGGTACTGCATCATCCTATCCCTTTCTTCCTCCCTAATCTCAACGACGCGGTGAGGATAGGGAAACTCCAACCCTACGGGAGGAGCCGTCTCCTTCGCGACTAGCTCTTTCTCCCGACGACGGGATGGCTCAGTGCGACCGACGGATACCCGCTCTTCGTCTGTGAACGCTCTTGCCTCGGCCCCAACCTCTTCCTGGGGAACCTCGACATGCTCTTCTGAGGCCGACTCCACCACCTAGATGATGTCGGTCTCGACCAACTCAGTCGCCGCCCGAGGTACTTACTCTTCAATCCTTCGTGATCTTCTCCTTCGCCTGTGGACGAAGGTGGCAGAAGGCTCCACCTCGATCGTCTCGACCTCGATTGGGACCAAGTCTCGGCGAAAACGCTTCTCCGGCCTTGCAAATAGCCCCTCCTGAGGGTCAGCCAGAGGAGCGGTTAGCACCATCGTCGCTTCCGCTGTCCCTAGGATCAGAACTGAAGCCCTCTCTTGGTCCTTGGTGGAAGGAGGCACAACAGATATGTTGGCAACCCTCAAGATCGAGTTAAGCAGATGCTCCACCCGACGAGAACCAGCGTGCGTCTTGATTTGGTCTAGAGTATCTCTCTCGACATCAGACAGATCGTCGGCCATTAGCGCTTCCTACCTTATCTCGGGCCAGTTCGAACAAGCCAGATCCAAGTCATCCCTCATGACCCAAACGAACTTCTCCTTCTAGTCCTTATTCGAGTCAGGAAGGTTGGTGATGAGCTTGTACTTGCCCACCATTTGGAAGTGGAAGTGGGGCTCGATCTGATTCACTTTGACACTCACCAGACGACCCAGGACTCTCAAAGATGGCTTTATCGCCAGCCAATGGCAGATCACCACGAACCTAACCAGAGTCGCGATGACGTTTGGCTTCATCTGCGCCGGCAACACCGCCAGAGCCGTGAAGACTTGCTGAAGGAAAGGATGCAAGGGCAATCGCAGGCCGAACTCCAAGTGCCTCAAATACAATAGAGCCCGATCTGGTCCGTGGTCATAGACGGCCTCCGACCTCGTCAGCGCCATCAGTTCATACTCTCAGGGGATGTTAAAACTCCCGTGGAGCGTCCTCATCTGCGTTTAGGTCACTTTGGAGTGGAACTCCGCCAACAAAGCATGTCTATCTACGGGATCAGACGTCATTATAGATGGGTGAGTAATTGCCGGAGAAGATGGACAAAAAGGATCTCGAGTTCTCAAAATGAATTTCAAAGAGCAATAACTGTCTTTCTCCTAGCCCTAGCCTAATATATAGATAGCAAAATCCGCAGCTACCGGAATCTGAATGGCCGGGTCAGAATTTGGCCAACGATCAAGATTAACTCTAGAAATTCGAAGCTGCATCTCTGGGATCAAGGCGCAGCCCACTAACCTC